ATCTGTTACACAGCATAGAAAACTAATACAAGGGTGTAGAGAATTAACACTTGCCAGGTTAATCAGACATGTGCCATGGGCACAAATGATATCATTTAATCCTCTCACAACAACTCTCTGAAGTATGTTTTATTATCTCCATTCTACGGAATAGGTAAATAGGTATTTCTTGTTATATAAATGAGGAAACTGAGACAGAGGGGCTAAGTGATGCAAAAGTGACACATAGCCAGGAAGAGATTAGGCTGAATGAAATATATATCCTGCAATGTCAAGTCCAATGTCATTTCTGCTGGACTACATTCACACGAAAACGTAACAGGTCAGTAACATAAAGTAGTACCAAATGAATCATCCAGTCAGCATGAAAGGAAATAAAATGGAAAATGAATGAGGTACCACTTCAGGCAGGGATATCCAGGAAATGTGATGGAAAAGATGAGATTTCAAACGACCCTTAAAAATGGGTGGAATATTCCAAGGGGAAGAGAGGATGAGTAGAGCAGACCAAACAGGAAATGGCAGATGTGAAGCCCTGAGAATCTAGTTCATGACATAAACCTCTTTAGAGAGGAGTTATTAATAGCAAGCACTGGGCTATGGGCAAGAAAAATTGGAGGTAGGCAAGTTCATGGTATTATGATGAAAGTAACATGAAACCTTTTGAGGAGTGTATAAGAGGAAAAACGATCTTTTTATACACCATATGTTAATATAATGAGGTGAGAAAAAAAGTATTATCTTAGCAGCTAATAATATACATTTACTTGGGGGAATGGAGACAATATATGTTTTGGAAAAAAAATTTTTTTGAGGAAGATTAGCCCTGAGCTAACTACTGCCAGTCCTCTTCTTTTTTCTGAGGAAGCCTGGCCCTGAGCTAACATCCATGCCCATCTTCCTCTACTTTATATATGGGATGCCTACCACAGCATGGTGTGCCAAGTGGTGCCATGTCCACACTGGTGAACCTCAGGCTGCCAAGAAGCTGAACGTGAGAACTTAACCGCTGTGCCACTGGGCCAGCCCCTGGAAAAAATATTTAAATACTTGGTAGAGCATGTGGGTTCTGACTGGGTGGTATCAGCTGATACCAAGGATTCAGAGAAGAGGGAGACACTGCTTTGCATAAAGCAAGTAGAGATTTTTGTTGTTGTTTAGTTCAAGAAATAAAGAGGAAAAATAGAGAAGCAAGAAAAAAGATGAAGCGGGGGGCTGGCCCCGTGGCCGAGTGGTTAAGTTCGCGCGCTCCACTGCAGGCGTCCCAGTGTTTCGTTGGTTCGAATCCTGGGCGCGGACATGGCACTGCTCGTCGGACCACGCTGAGGCAGCGTCCCACATACCACAACTAGAAGAACCCACAACGAGAAATATACAACTATGTACTGGGGGGCTTTGGGGAGAAAAAGGAAAAAAATAAAATCTTTAAAAAAAAAAAAAAAGATGAAGGGGACCTAGTGATAAGCAAGACGGACGGAGGAAGTACCTGTTGGAATATTTGAAATGAACTCCCACGTTTAACTCCTTATCATCCTCAAAGCCCATGGATGACAAGAATTCAAACAGGAACGTATTTGCAGACTGAGGTGTTAATCAATTTCTCAATAACAAAAGTGGACCAATTGTGGAATGTACAGACGAACAGCAAGGAGTGTACAAAACCTCAGCCTGGTACACAGACAGGTGAAGGCTAAAGGAATTGGCAGGTATTCTGCCCGAGATGGAGAGGCTCCATGCCAAGAGCTGACAGGTATGGAAAACAAGAGAGTTGGGGCAGAAGTCAAGGTAACTAATTAAAAGATTGTTTTAAGGAACAGCTTTATAATCAGTCTCTTTCCTTGGGTTGCAAGGATCACATGAGGTCCCCTCCTCCTCCCCTAAAAATCCTTAGGAGAATTACAATTTTCTGGAGTATGGGTAGAGTTAGGGCTCACCCACCAAGCTAAAATGAAACCTGCAGTTGCCTGTCCCATTTATTCATCCCGTTTACTCAGAAAAGCAGAATATTGGGGCAGTAAACCCATACATACCAGATGCATAATTAATCAATGCAGTCTTTCACTTATTACTGCAAGTGGAAAACCAAAAATCCCCAGACATTTGAGAAAAATAAATAGCACCAAAGACAAAGACCAAGAAGATCAATTCACTCTAGAAATAATTAAAAGACCAGAGCTTTTCACAAATACATATTAATAAATTCAGTGAGATCCAAGAATAAATGATATCTATAAAATATAGTAGGCTACTGTGGAAAAAAAAAAAAAAAACTACTGGGATGTTACAATGCTCTTAAAAATTCAGAAAGAAACATTGGACTCTGCTTCTGCTTAGGAGGTAGAAAGCTGTAAAAGTGTTGCTCTCACCCTGACAACAAGAACAAGGCTGGTAGTCTACAAAATGGTATTTCTTTCTAGCCCATCAAGGAGCTGTGTTCACAAGGCAGTGTGGGAACTGAAACCAAAGAGCAGCAAGCCCCTCTGAGGAGAGGTGGGACACACAAACTCTCTTCCTTTGCTTAGACCAGACAGACTAGAAGAGTTGGCCCCCATAGGAGCAAGTAAAAACAGTTTAAATGTTAACAAGTCCTCTGAGGCTAAGTGTGAGCTAATATGACAGTTCAGAATGCCCAGAGTTCCAGAAACAAGAGGAGTCTGCCCTTTGCCAAATCTTTTCCACCGCCGTCTGCTGAGTTTTGAAAGGAGCATTGGGGCCCAGCTGGGAGATCTGAGAGAGACCTCCTCGCTGGTGCAGAAATTCGTGACCTGCCCACGTGTGAGGTTGGGACAGGCGAAACTGGAGAATTCCATCTGTACTCTATGCCCGGCATAAGTACAAGGTAGTAGTCACCTGCTGCTGAGGGACAGTCAGAAAACCTGCCCACTCATTTCACCCTGTGCTGACCCCAGGCAGAAGCCCTCTGACCCTGAGGAAGGGCGGGAAAGCCCCTCCTACTGACCCTGCACAAATAATAACGTGGGAGGTTTTTCACTACTGCGGAGGGGCAGGAATGCTGACAGAGCCCCATCCCTGAGGATCCGGCTCCCAAGACCTGCTTAAGACTGAGCTAGGAGCAGGGAACTGAGAAATCCCTCATACCCAGCCCCAGCAGCCTGCCTCAGGAGGAAGTAGGAATGCCAAGAGAGACCCTCTCTGCAGCATAGAGAGGGCCCTTCGGAAGGCTGCTGGTGGACGGCTGATACCAAGAGAAACTTCTCGCAATTCAGGCCTCACACTAAGCACGAAGTAGCATCAGAAGGAACTTGAAATCTCTGGTGCCCTTGTAGGCTTTTCCAAAACGTAGAGCAAAAATACAAAAGAGAAAATATGAGAGAAAAATGAAGAGATGTGGAGAATCAGTTCACAGGTTTCAATCTCATAAAATAAGAGTTCCTAAAAAGAGAATAGAGACACGATTAAAGGAACAAGGGAAGTGATTTCCCAAAGCAGAAGCAATTCATAGAATTTTATAGACAGAGCCTTTCCAGTGGCCAGCAGGATAAGTGACAAAAGGTCCCAACCTAGACATAGCTTTATAAAATATCAGAACACTAGGGACAAAAGGAAGACCCTAAAAACTTCAAAAGAGAAAGGCAGGTCACTTGCAGAAGTACAACAATCAGATTGGCTTTAGAATTTCATCAGCAGTATTGAATTTCAGAGGAAGATGTTATTTATGTTTCATATGAACGTATGGAACGACATGTTTACAGCGTGAAAATTATTTTGAACTGCAAATTCTATACCAGTCAAACCAACCAAGTGTGAGTTGAAAGAAAACCAGCAAGAGTCTCAAATATGGTGGACGTTCTGCCTACAGCCTGTCAAGTTTTCACTATGAATGGGTGCTGTACGTACTGATGGGTTGCTGCCAACATCAAGAATCACACAGTTCTATGTGGCCCCTTGTTTTGTCCTCTGGAGGTTTTACTTTGTCAGTTATCCTCAGTGGACTCCTCTGGAGTGGGTGTTGGGTCTATGCCCCTCATCAGACACTCAGCTTTGGCAGCTCACTTCCTCATCATGCAAGTTTGGGCATCTGAGGGTTGTTTTAGAACAAGGTTTCTCAACCTGGGAATTATTGAGATTTTGGCGGCTGCATAATTCTTTGTTGTGTGGAGGTATCCTGTGCATTGTAGTACATTTAGCAGCATTCCTGGCCTCTACTCACTAGATGCCAGTAGCATTCTCCCAGTCGTGACAATCAAAAGTGTCTTCAGACATTTCCAAATGTCCCGTAGGAGGCAAAATTGCCCCTATATAAGAACCACTATCTTAGGAGGTTAATAGTCTCTCCCATAGGGTTTGCAGTGTCTTTGGCAATAAAATTCCTTCAAAACTATGTAAACTATTGATCTATTTGTTATCAGTCATTTTCAGACACTAGTAATGCAATAAACCCAAAGTTCATTCCTAGACATAATTTTCAAGCTTTGATTTCTTGGCTACCCTGGGGCCATCAAGCTTGAGTGGGAAGGTAACACCTGAATCCTAATGAGCCATAGTGGATTAAAGACTCTTTCAATCTTATTTCCTGCAGTTTGTATTCTAGAAAACAGTTGGCTTTTCCATTTCTTCATGGTATTCAATTTCTGGATTCTGTTTCCTTTCATTTCGACTTGCAAACTAGCCAATTCTTATCTAAACTCATCTCATTCTTGTAATACCTTAGCCAATAACAGCCAACACAGATGTTCGCTCTGACTCTTCCCAACCACTTCCTGAGAGTTTCAGGCTCAGCTGGCATATGGTGTCCTACAAAGTGATCATAAATTACAGTTTACCATAACAGTCCCTCTGTATAGCAGGTCTCCATAGGGTTCCAGCCTTCAGTTTGATTTCTTCCAATCTGCCAGCCAACCATTAAGCCACGTATTTTAAGTTTTGCATTTCTGCAACAGTCCACTTCAAGCTACCCACTTTTGCAGTAGTTGGGGGTAGGTTAAATGCTCTAATAAGCAGTCCCCAAATCCCAGTGGCTCAGCACAATATATCCTTACCTCCTACTCATATCACATTCCAGTTTGGATCAGTGTGTGAGATGTGTGTTCTTCTCTGTCACTCAAGCACCCAGGATTCTTCTATCCTGTGGCTTTTTTCTCCCCCAGGTCTTCAGATTCTTCTGGAATCCTCCATTCAGTTGGTGGAAAAAGAAAGGAATACACATAGGAGATGTTTGTACACCAATCCTAGAAGTGTGCACATTTCTGTCTCTGTTCTATTAGCAACAACTCTGTCGTGTTGTCCTTCTAACTATAAGGAACCTGGAAATGTAACAGCTCCATGCCGAAGAGGAGGAGAACATGAATATTGGCAAGCACTGGCAGTTTCTGACACGAAGTCCAAAGTAAAATAGAAATTCAGAGGGCTCTAAGCTGAATATATTTAAAAAGATTTTAATGGATTCAAACGCAACAAATTATTTGACAGGGAAGCTGAACATCTTATTAATGTATTTTAGAAAGCATATGTTTCTTTTCTCAACAAGAAAAAAAAAAACAAAGCAATAGCATAGGAACAAAATAGCCCAGGAAAAAATAGCATAATAATAAAAATAGGAATTTCAGGAGGAAAAACAAACCATGCAAAATGGTCAAGTTCTAAAAATAAAGCAAATTATAATCTGCATGATTTTGAAGAGTTGATGGGGTGAGCAAAAAGAAAAACTCTTGACTTTGATATTTGAAACATGTCCTGTATGTGTCACAAGTTTAGAGATAAGGGGATATATTTTCTTTCTCGACAAGTCTTAAATCTCATCATGCACAGTGCATAATACTTATGTAATAATGACATAATAGAAAAAATTATTTGCTTTAAAATGTTTAGACTCTGTAGAGATAGAGAAGATTGAATTATAGTTATAGCATAGAATCTAAAGATTTTATATTTTGACTGTAAAAGATTATTCTATATATGAGTACAGAAAACCACATGACTAAAGGTCCAGACTGTTCACATTGATGAATATCCCAGTATCTGGGTATAGGAGAAATTACTATGGTTAAAACTAAAAGAAGAACAGAGCCAACAGTAGTCTCTCAACACTGTCACTACCAATTGTTATGCTACTATGAATATTATGTCTAGAAAAGATTCCTGAAAAAGTTTCCCTTCACTGTTTTGTTTATCAATAATTGTCTGCTATTACTTGAATTTAGAAAATCCAGGACTATTGTGAAAAGTAGGCAATTTGTCCACCAATTACAGCTTTGTGTGAAAATGGAGCCAGTGACTGGGAGCCAGTAACAGCATTGGATTAGAACTACCTTTGTGAAGCCTCACTCCGTAGGGCTCCTGTAGTTCAGATAATGTATCCTAGTTATTTGGGGACTGAAGCTTATCAAAAGAGATGGAATTAATCATGCTGGGTTGTGCGATATGTTTTGGAGAATGGACACGATTCCACTAAAATGAAAAAGGCAACACAATTTTCTGTGGGCTTTTGAATCCTAAGGTTACCCTCCTGTTCTCCCTACCGTCCATCTCCAGATTGAAGCTTGGAGCAATCCCCAGATTTTAAAGTGCGGGGGGAAGAGGGTGAGGGCAGTCTGCACCTGGAAACCATTTTCTTGATTTGTGCTGGCTGGAGTCCTGGAGGTATAACAGCAAGCATGGCTCTCTGGGATTTCTTTGAAATCTGGGCTGGATGATTTGTCTGAAGGGAGGGAATGGGGATAAAGGGTGGGGAACAATTCATTCCTGGTTGCCACATTGTTGTTCTGCAATGGAGGAGCTTGGCCTGACTTGGGTTTGAGTTGAAAGGAAATCAACAAGGCAGCCTCAAAGTATGCAGGAATTTGCTGCCCTGAACTTGCCAATTTTTCAAACATAACGGGGTATTGTATCCGCACTAGGGGGTTGCCAACATCGAGGCTCATGCAACTCTACGTTGAAGATCTTTTCAATAGCTCTGCAAATTATCATGTGTTTTCATCTGCTTTAGCAATTCAAAGGATGCCAAATAATAATCTCTTTGCTTACATTACCTGCAAATGTACAGTAATAAATTTACTTGTGAAGTTCCCTTTGTTGTGTCATCAAGCATTCACATACTGGAAAGGTTTTTTCTATTTGTACAAACTAGTGAACTCCAAAATGTGAAATGTACTTTGCCCAAGAAGAAGGACAAAAAGATGCAACAGGATGAAAACAATATTCTTAATTTACATGAGCATTTCTCATATACTTTTACACAATATTCAGTATTAATGAGTTTGCACCTCTATGTTCCTGTCCTCATGCAATGAGAAGCTATGCAGCTACCTTTTGAAGGCACCAACTACAGAAAGAATAATAACATTTTTTAGAGTACCTACTATATGCTAGGAATTTTGTACATATTATCTCTCATCCTCATAATAAAACTGCTCGGGACAGGTACTAATATCTGTAAATTTAACAAGAAGAAAGTGATGCTAGAAGCTGGCTTCCGACCAAGGCTATCCAGCTCATAAATGGCTGTCCAGAAATTTGTACCATGGACATGGAGTCTTCAGAGCTCATGTTCTTTAGAGCAGCCTTGTTTATTATGCATCATTTTACAAATCTCCTCTTTAGTAGAGCAAATTTTGGACCTAAATATCATTTTTATTGTTCTCATACAAAGGAGGCCACATGGCCTGATGTTTGGATCCAGAAGACCTGGGTTTGGATTTTGACTCCACCACTTATGACTTTGTGACCTTGGGCAAGACTTTTAATTTACACGACATCAAATTTCTCCATCTGCATAGGCTGTAAGGTTGTTATCCAGACTAAAATACAGTAAAAAAAAAAAAAGAATTACTCTACTAATGTTAATTAGTACTATAAACTTAGAGAGGAAAATTATATCTAAAGAAACAAATAGTATATATAAGTCATCTTTTTGATCATATCTTCCCACATATTCCAACATGTATAGATCTCAACAAACTTTATCTACTTTTATTCTATTTTCTCTCACATCTTCATAATTAAATGTTTGCTAATTAGCAAAAGCCAAAATTCATTCTTTTGCTGATACAATCACTAGCAGCTCTATTAATTAATTCTTTCTTTCTCTCTATTTTTTTCTTCAAATATTTATTGAGCAGCCACTATGTGCTAAACCTAGTGCTGGCCACTGGGAATATATGTAAAAGATCCCATTTCTGTCCTTGAGAAGTTCACCTTCTGGTGGGAAAGAGAAGAAAGTAACTTTATATCACAAGGTCACACATTCTGTGATGGGGTCTGAAGAGCGCACGGTGTCAGTACTAAATGCAGGCTGGCTGGCTCTGAAGAGCTGATAACTAAAATGAGATTTGACGGATCAGTGGAAGTAAATCAGGCAAGGAAGGTGAAGGAGAGACAGAGGGCATCACAGAGGGAGAAAGAAGTGTGTGCAAAGGCTCAGCGCCATTAAAATGCAGGACACTCTCCATTAACTGCAAATTGTTCAGGCTGGTGCAAGTACAGGGCACAAAGGCAAGTGACAGGAAGCCTAAAGAAGTAAGCTCAAGCTGCAAGGGACCCAAAACATCACATGTGAATTCAGATGTTGGTAAAAGTCCACAGATGATGCCGTTGTTCTCAAAAGAGAATATGCTCTGAAGAGGTTACATGAGCAAGGGTAAATTCTCTGAAAAGTATGTGAATGGCCAGCGTTTTCTGAGTATTCTAATCAGGGAGCCATTCTGATTTGGAGAGCTGAATTGTAGCATAGTTGTTGACCATGCCACCAGTGGGAGAGCAGTTAAATGTCAGCTCCCTTACAAAGCAAGACCTGCAGAGTTTAGTAAAAAGGAAATTATCAGTAGAGAGTATCGGACATAATGGGTTTCATACACATTGATTTAAAGCGTGAGAGTACATTTTCTTACTGAATGGACAATGTTGTAAATTAGGCTAGCTAACAGGAAGGAGCTTTGCTAAAAGTTTATGCAATTTTTATGAGATAAGTTCTTCTAAGTTGAATAATGTTACCATGGCTTATCTACATATGAAATATGAAATAAGTACGGTAGAAGATGGGCAAAGGAGAAGAGTGACAAGAAATTGCCTTTCTCTAAACATTTATATTCTATTGTACCTGCCTAGTTGAAACAGGTGATTCCTCAAAGCTTGAGTCCATGAAACTTCTGGCTGAAGGTACATGAGGCCTTGCTGTACCCAGAGTAAACGTTCCCTGGGAAAATCTGTCCTGTAAAAGTATTGCAATTAAAAGGAATCATTCTTCTGAAACTTTCTCTATGGAACAAGTTTCCCAGCCTAAGCCAAAGCTTGCTCACCTTAGAATTCAGACGTGTGTTTAAGTCTACTTGGTTCCCTTTCACTAGGAGATGATTTGTGTAGGGGAATGAGTAGCCTCTGAGAAAAATGAATCCAAAAGAAGCAAGTTCTGTTGAATATCATTGTCTGAATATGCTGGGGCTAAGAGCAAAGCAGAAGGAAGACCATCTCACTCAGATGGTCTTTTGGTCCAGACCCCAGAGATTCTTGATGGAAACTGGGCATTGACGTGAAAATGGGGCCACTAAAAGTAAAAATGGAAAGAACTATTTGCATAAACATCACCTGGAAGCTTTGTAACACAAAGTGCCACTGATTTGGCACTTAGCCAAGTAAGCTGACATTTAGAGTGTCTACCATGTGCCGTGTACTGTTCCAAGTATATTTTAAATTACTGAATCCTCTCAACAACCTTATCAGATACTTATTGTTTTCATTTACAACACTTTAAGTAAATTGCAACATAGAGAGGTTAAGAAATTTGTCTAAGGTCACATGGTAAGTAAGTAGGAAAGCTGGGATTTGAACCCAGTCACTCAACCTCCAAAACCCACATTGTTAACCATGGTGCAACTTAAAAGTGGTAGGGAGAGGGGTTCTTCTCTGATAAGAAACTGTTCAAGGGTCCCAGAGCATTGTCATCATTAACAGCATTTGCAGTTTTGCACCTCATGAGGCCTTTGGCACAATGAGGAGCTTTGTACTGAAGGACCTGAGAAAGCATGACTTCAAAGGCCACCAACTTGGGCCACTGGGAGTAACACGGGAGTGGGAGGGTGGGGGAATGTGAGGGAGTCATAGAGTTCATCACAAACAACAACGATGAGCGCTGGAGGAGGAGAGAAGGAGAATCAAGCATAATCAGGAGGTAGTTGAGAGCAGTATTCAGAAACCTACATGAGAACCCCCCTCCCTCCACTCCCTGAGATATGAGAGAGAAAGCAAGGGGAGCGGCAGTCTCCTTATGGAGGAGGGACAAGAGCCAGGGAAATACTGTTCGTGAAAAAGTGGCATGATCCAATGTTGGGTGTGGCCTGAGAAGCATATGATACATTTGCATTTATTAACTCTAACTAATAGCAGTGATGGGGAAGTCCCAAATGCTCTCATGTAGTGCATTTCAACTGTAAAACAATAGATGTATAGTGAAGTTGTGAGACAGTTCAATGTAGTCTTCCCCGTGCAACTAGCAAAGAACTTGATTTTAAGAAATTTAAATCAACCACTGTCCAACTTGGCCAGAAGCTCTCACAGGTCTCGAACTTCTTTATATCGCAGTTTCTTTATTGATAAATGGGAATACAGCAGTATTCTCTAACTTGTAAAGATAACGTTAAGACAAGAACTTCAGGAATAACAGGACAATAACATCCCAAATAATGACTTACATCTGTATATGAAATTTTATTATTAACCATGATGTAGCATATCTTCCTTTCAGCATTATTTTGCAGTTCTGGTATGACTAAGAAGGGCATATGCCAAACTAACATTTCCATCACAAGTGGTGATTTAAACGTTATACGCAAATGAGGTAGATGATTCCATTTCAACCAAATGGAACGTAATGGTGCATGACGCTGCAGAACTGGCCTAGCGAAGCAGATCAAGCTGGGCGAATCATCGCAGAAAGAATAGTAGAGTTTTAAATTAAAACTCTGAGTTTTTCAAAATAAAAATAATTTTAACCCGTCCTAGTGATATTTTTCATAAAAATATTGCAGAAAACAAAAAGATGACCCATGGTATCCGTGAAATCATAAATTTACAATGCCATTTTCCTAGAAGAAAAAGAACGCATAACTGGAAAAACGTTTAGGAATTCTCTTCATTCAGTATTCTAAGACAGCTACCCTATAAAGTCCTACTTAACCATGTTTCTGAGTGTCAGAAACTTTCTGTCTTTCATCAATTAGATTGAGGAAACATTCTAACATACACTCTTACTTGCATTTTTCTCTAGGCTTAAGAACTTCCTAGTCTGGTATCGCTTACTTCCTGTATGCAGTGATTATATTACTGTAATCACAACCAAACCTTTTTTTTTTAATTCCCCGTCGTGAAACTTAGTTCTATCTTGCATTGTAACTTGCTATGCGGAGAAGTAAAATATATCTCCATGAGTCAACAGTAGCATCATAAATACTCTATTACGGAACACTAATGAGAGGGACTGCCAAGGTACCCATTGCGCTGGCTTAGCAGAGAGTGCATAAAAGAGTAATAAATCAGTGGTTGTTAACAGCTGATTTGCAGTATTTAACATATAAAATATAGTCTGTGTCAGATACATAGTTGCAGATTTCTCCTAATCCCCTGGTAAACTGATACACATAACAAAAAATAACCAATATATTAATGTCAGACTGCACCCACTTGCCTTTATGTTCTCTGACCCCTCTATGTGGAGAGTCAATTGCTGACACCAGAAAGCCACATTTGTTGGCTAAGTAATGTCCCTCACTATCTGGCCCCTGGAAAGTATAGTTTAAGTGAACTTTTAACAGGTTTCTGGTAGAGATGGCTGCAAAGTATTCAAATTGATGTTGGCTATGGCCAAAACACCCATTTGTCATTCTAACAACAGACTCCTCATTTAGGAAACCAGTTCAATGATCAGTTAGATAATGCTGAGTCCTGTGGATCAATAGATACATGGTTAGAGCTATGCTGGTTCCCTGTGGACCCCTTATTGAATATTTATTCCATACTCAGCTTCCATCTCATACAAATCACAGCCAAAACAGTCTTTCATGGCCTGATATTTCATGGAAAGAGAGTCTCTTTGGGAACCTAAAGAATGAGACTCAGTGGGGAATTTTAGCCTCTGGCTGCTTCATAAAATAAATACTTCAACGAAACCATTTGCATAATGAAACTGTATCATCCATAAGAGATTTAGGAAATTGTATCAAATGAAGCTAAACTACAGTTTAAGGACATGTTTTAGGGGGTAGATAAGTGAATCTTCATAATCCACGTAGTTCTTTATGTTTTGTTTTCGGGGGGAGGGATCTCTTTGCTCAATTTTAGAACGGAGAATGCTCATTAGAAAATGATAGCTGTTTGCTGTGTACCAGTTTTCATGATTTACCTGAGGCAGTTTTTTAAATTCCTAGTGCCTTTTTTATTCTTTATTCTTGTAGTTCACATATTTGGTTAATAAGTCAGCAGATGATTGGAGTCTTGTGGACCCCCTTAGTATAAAACAAAGGAGGCATCCAGGAATCCCCCTGAACTTCCCCCCTTAAAGCTGGGCTGTTCCTACTTACTGGAACCACAGATTCATGTTGTCATACACTCCACTATGTTCTGCCAGAAGAGAGCTCTGCTCTTGTAAACTCTACTGTGCATTTGCTTGCACTTGTGCTAGACTCCAGAATCTCTGAGATATTATTCTGTTTATTCTTTTTTGGAGACTGCCAAATGGAATGTTTTGTCAGAATTCAAGAAAGGCAGTCAGAAATTTGCATTGTGAGTCTTCTGCAAAACATAATGTAATGTTCTTTGGGCTCCTTAGATCCTATTCTTAGTTTTTTAACATGGTCCCTTGACAAACAGAAAATTTCTTATGAAGTTGGAAAACCTAGATTAAAATCAAAGAATAATAGAGTTTTAAATCTTAATGAATAACATAATGAATGCTCTTATGTCCAATAAACATTTTAATTAATTGTTTTTATTCTTATTTTCTAAGAAGCTCTGGTATTTCCAGATTCCTAAGTGGTTTTGGACAATGCACTCCCAACATCATCACTGTCAGCATCAAACATTTATTGAGTACTATTGTGTACAAGGCACCGTAATTACTTGAGTTCTGAAACTAATCAAGGACCATTTTATGGAATTGAATAACCATATCTAATTTGTACATAGATCTCCTTTCCCTTCTACCAAGCTGAACCACCTCCTTTTGGCTGCTGAAATGTCTTAGATAATCTTTAATCTCTGCTTTGTGAGTAAGGGAATGACGAGGGGAAATTGACTCAAAATTATTGATGCCACATTGTTAACTGCATTCAACACTACAGCCAGCAATTTCAGTCAGCCATGCCTGGGAAGAATTTTGGGCTAGTGTCAAATATGAAGAAGAGAGGAGGGAAATAGAACTTTTCCTCATCTTTTCAATAACCTTAGGACTGTAATTCATTCAAAGATATTTCTCTCATTACTCTGAGCTCCCAGTACGCATACTATAGGTGAGCTTTAGGTCTGGAACTATTATGATGATCGTATAGTCACGGCAGTCTAGGATATGCTGTGATAAAAAAGTAAACCAAAAATCTCAGTGAGTTATAACAAAGACTTATTTCTTGCCCAGAGGAATTCTAATGCTGGTCAGGTGACTTTCCAAGGTAGCTGTGCTGCGTGCAGTGACTCAGTGATCCAGGCTGTTTTGATCTTTGAACCTGCCACATCAACATGCAATTTCCAGATTATATCTGGAAGAGAGATGGGGAAGAGAGAGAGGGAGAGTCTCCCACTGGTTCTTAAATTCTTAGGCCCAGAAGTGACAATGGTCTTACAGCTGGTCAGAAATAGCCATATAGCCTAACTGCAATGGTCTGTGAAATGCAGGCGAGCACACAGATATTTGGTGAACAGTAAATATTGGGTGAACAGTAAACACTCTGCCACAGTGATCAAAAGCACAGGCTCCTTGTTTGCAATAATGCTAAGAGGGAGTCATTAATATTAATCTCACTTTAGAGATGATGAAAATTGAAGCACAGAAAGGCTAAGTAACTTTCCCAAAGTCACACAGTGATTCACTCAGGGATTAAACCCAGCTAACATGGCTCTACAGCCCCCACTCCTAAACCATGCTCTATGGCTTTTGAGAAGTAATTTGCTTTTTCTTAGTTTTCCCAATTGCAAACTAGGGTAAGGTTATCTATCCACTGGAATTTATT